CAAAAGCCATTTTTCGTCCACATAGCGCGGTCTGTAGCTTTCGGTACATTTGACCCGTTTAACTGAAGGGTCGATACGTGCGGGGAAGGTGGTAAGGCTCAGCGCAGGGTTTCCTCGGTCTTCATATCACATGCTTTAATTAATTGTGGCCGCAGGTTAGTGTGCGACACCGCTCTTAAATCTGTGGATACTTCCTACCGTGGCTTTAAATGCAGCTCTGACGCAAACCAATGTATGTTACATCGATGGTTCTGTTTCGTCGTCACCACCAGTAACTAGCATTTTACGCATTCGCATACCTTCGTAAAGGCCGTTAAGGTCAAGGGAAAGCTATTTCTTCTGAATTTAATCTCAAAAGTAGTGGTCCACGTTCAGCCTTGCTTCCTGAGTACTTCAGGACAATTGTCCTCCCGTGATTAGCTGCCAGATAGTGAGTTGGACTCTTGATTGTGTACGCCGCCTTTTTAGGTACTGCTTGTTTAGAGAGATACGCTTTATCTGGAAAATAACATTTCAAAATTTAAGCAAAAACTCCTCCATTCACCAAGTATAAAACTAAGTACACACACAAACACTGGCAAATCACAAGCAATGCATTATAACAAAATAGCGCAATTGTCAACATCGTGGAGGAATGGCCTTGAATATTTCGCAAAAGGTAGGCCAAATTGGATTTCCTTCAAAACGGTGCTAGCATCGTGCGCTAGGGATCTCGTTGTAGTTGAGATAAACAAAGAGGGCTAAGAATAGGTTTATAATGGGCGTAATAGGCAGACCGATATTTATATGAGAAACTTTACATGCGAATTGAGGGAAGAAAAGTGGTGGATCAATTTCAACAGCCCGCCATTGACCGAGATATCTGTGAACGACAATTTACATTCTGTTTTTGTTGATTTAATCATTACATTTGCTGGTAGCATTTATTTTTATCGGTGCAGAAACGTTTTTCAATGTTCCATCTTCGCAGTGCGCAGCTATGCTCTTCCTTTCGTGCACACTCCCATTGTAGCTGCTGTCCGTCATGAACCGCTCATTTGTGCGAGCAGGGTCTCTTAGCCAATTTTCTCATTTCTCAATCTTCTCATTTCATGATTTAACTCTCCGTGTGGCTGTTTTTTTGTGTGGGATATGTAAGGAAACACGCCCGGCCTTGCACCAGACCCTTCTCTTTTATTTCACCCTCCGCCTCTGTCAGCTTACCCTAGGTCTCTGTGTTTTCCACTGACAGCTTACTGGAGCGAAACAACCTAAAGATCAGCGACATTGACGTCTTTGAGGTGCATGAAGCCTTTGCTGGCCAGGTACTCGCTAACCTCCGCGCCATGGACTCGGACTTTTTCGCTCGTGAGTTCATGGGTCGGACGAGCAAATTCGGAAGCATTCCACTGGAAAGATTGAACCTCTGGGGCGGTAGCCTGAGCATAGGGCATCCGTTTGGGGCCACTGGCGTTCGTCTGGTCACCACGGCCGCCAATCGTCTGCACGCAGAAAAGGGCCAACTGGCTGTTGTTGCTGCCTGTGCAGCTGGCGGTTTGGGACACGCGATGCTTGTTGAGGCCTTCTAGGCATTTCCTCTCAGCAAAGAATTACACACACACACACACACAC